AGCGACAACAATGAATCAGCTGATAGTTACAATTGATATTGAACAAAACTTCATGAGCTCAGTTATCATATGATCACCTTCAAAGTAGACTAGATATGCCTGGACGTATTATATAACAATTTAAAATTGTTCAGTTTTTTTTGGGACACGGTGTATGTCTTATTTATGCAAATAGGTAGTTGAGTAAAAATGTAATCAGACAAGTTGAAATTCGCTTAGTCTGCAGGTTTTCTGCGGCGGGGGTATTTGATTTTGCAAGAGTTCTTTAAAAAAAATTGCAGTCTCTAAATTATTTATGATAACCTAGTCATAGACGTCCTGGACCTGACTAGGGTTCTGTGTGCATGTCGTGTATAGAGAATTTTGCTTTTGCATTTCAATATAGGTGTCTTAGGAAGTGTTTTCCACTCGGGTGTCAAGTTCGCACCTGGTACATTTTCGAGCTATGACGTCATCAAGATGGCGGCTCGGCAAATTTTGAATGCGTATATTTCGCAAACCGTTTAACGGATCGGGATGGTTCTTTTTTTGTTTCAAAGATATTTTTACAAACTATCTTTTTTGTATTTACACATTTGTTGTAAACTTAATATTCACCCCACAATATTGAAAAAAGTCGTTTTTATTGTTATTATTTTTATTGTTTTGCTTATAACTTCTTAACCGCTGGTAAAATCAAATACCACCCCTTGCAAAAGTTGCAGATAATTCTATACCCTTTCCAATGATACCAAACAATATGTGATTAGACCTAAAAATAAAGCAAAGAGATTAAATAAACCGTAAACAAACACTGAAAGTGGTGTACGGCCGGGAAATATTTAGTCCTGGACATGACTAGGGTTCTGTGTGCATATCGTGTATAGAGAATTTTGCCTTTGCATTTCAATATAGGTGTCTTAGGAAGTGTTTTCCACTCGGGTGTCAAGTCCGCACCTGTTACGTTTTTCAGCTATGACGTCATCAAAATAGCGGCTAGGGCAATTTTTAAATGCGTATATTTCGCATACGGTTTAACGGATCGGGGTGATTCTTTTTTTGTTTGAAAGATAATTTTACAGTTAACGTTTTTTGTATTTACACTTTTGTTGTAAACTTAATATTTATCTCACTATATTAAAAAAGTGGTTTTTAATATAATTGTTTTTTGAATTTTTCCTCATAACTTGTTAAACGCTTATAGAATGAAATAACTACCCGTTACAAAAGTTGTAGATAATTTTATGCCCTGTCCAGCGATACTAAATAATTAATGTTTGAAATTAAAATTAAAGCCAAGAGATTCCGTTAACTAACATTTAACATGGTAGAAAGTCCGAAAAATATTGCAGATCAATTTTAAATGCAGTATGCAGAAACGAACACTAACTCAATAAGAGAAAAACATGACAAAAACATTAAATGCAGTACATGTACAGCTTAAATCATTTTAGTGTAATGGATTTAATTTAATAAATTGTTTACATTTTGGAGTTTTTAGATTACATCTTAGTGTTTTTAATAATTGAATTTGCATATTAAATAATTATAGTTGAAATAATATACACATTTGTTAATGTGTATGTGTTCGGATTTAGTATTAAGTTTTGTTACTTGAGTAACTAATAATTTGTGCTGCAACTTGAAAGTTGATGCCCGTTAGCTCAATACCTTGATGATTATTACACACATATAAAAAGGTGGTTAAATGTATATTATTAAAGATAATCGATTCTGCACTAGTAGATTAAACGGGGGAAATATCATAATAATGAAACCAGGCAGAATCATTCCTGGACGTTGTGCCTTGTTCAGTGTTTATGTATTGTTTAATAAATATTTTGCTTTATATTTATTTACAAACCCATATTGTTTGGTATCGTTGGAAAGGGTATAACATTATCTACAACTTTAGTAAGAAGTTGGTTTTTCAATTTATAGGCTGTCAAAAAATTATAAGCAAAAGTAAAATAGAAACAACAATTAAATGTACATTTATTAATATTGTGGGATAAATAGTAGGTTAACAACAAAAGTGCAAATACAAAAAAGGTAGGCTTAAAATATATCTTACAAACAAAAAAATAATCATCCCGGTTTGTTAAACGGTATGTGAAATATACGCATTTGAAAAATTAATTGTTCCATCCGCAATATTTTTCGGACTTTCTACCATGTTAAGTGTTAGTTAACGGTTTATTTAATCTCTTGGCTTTAATTTTAATTTCAAACATTAATTGTTTAGTATCGTTGGAAAGGGCATAAAATTATCTACAACTTTTGTAATGGGTAGTTATTTCATTCTATAAGCGTTTAACAAGTTATGAGGAAAAATTCAAAAACAATTGTATTAAAAACCACTTTTTTAATATAGTGAGATAAATATTAATTTTACAACAAAAGTGAACATACAAAAAACATTCCCTGTAAAATTATCTTTAAAAAAAAAAAGAATCACCCCGATCCGTTAAACGGTATGCGAAATATACGCATTTAAAAATTGCCCTAGCCGCTATTTTGATGACGTCATAGCTGGAAAACGTAACAGGTGCGGACTTGACACCCGAGTGGAAAACACTTCCTAAGACACCTATATTGAAATGCAAAGGCAAAATTCTCTATACACGATATGCACACAGAACCCTAGTCATGTCCAGGACTAAATATTTCCCGGCCGTACACCACTTTCAGTGTTTGTTTACGGTTTATTTAATCTCTTTGCTTTATTTTTAGGTCTAATCACATATTGTTTGGTATCATTGGAAAGGGTATAGAATTATCTGCAACTTTTGCAAGGGGTGGTATTTGATTTTACCAGCGGTTAAGAAGTTATAAGCAAAACAATAAATATAATAACAATAAAAACGACTTTTTTCAATATTGTGGGGTGAATATTAAGTTTACATCAAATGTGTAAATACAAAAAAGATAGTTTGTAAAAATATCTTTGAAACAAAAAAAGAACCATTCCGATCCGTTTAACGGTTTGCGAAATATACACATTCAAAATTTGCCGAGCGGCCATCTTGATGACGTCATAGCTTGAAAACGTACCAGGTGCGAACTTGACACCCGAGTGGAAAACACTTCCTAAGACACCTATATCGAAATGCAAAAGCAAAATTCTCTATACACAACATGCACACAGAACCCTAGTCAGGTCCTGGACTAATACTCATTTGTTTTGCTGCACAGTTCAAAAACTAAAATTTGCGTAACATTTTTTTTTACAAAAATTTCAAAGTAGAGTCCTGGTATTTGAAAACGTTTTTATTAGCTCACTTTCTTGTGTGTTCGGTACAAATTTTGCAATCGATTTTAAACTAACTTCCCGATGAGCTAGAGACTTCAAACTTGAAACATAGCTCACAAATGGATGTCAATGCAATATTAAATCATTTTTTATTTGCATATATCCCTTGGGCTACGCCCCATGGGCTTCCAAATTTCCAATGTTTACATTTTGGAAGAATGTAAATAGTCAATTATATCAATTGAAGTCAGCTGTAAATACTTTAACCCATTGGGGAAGGAATTAATGCGCTACCTGCAGCACCCTCTGGTGGAAATTAATTTTACCGAATTTGTAGACTTTTACTCTAACTGCTATAGAAAGAAAATCTTAGGTAATAAATTAATAATTCTTTCACCATTTTGTTCACAGTAAAATTGTCTACAGAAAATTGGTGATTGGATAATCAAAGTTCTAAACTAAAAAAAATATATATATAAAGATTATAAAAATAAAAATTTTAAAAACAATATTTTGAAAGTAAACTTGATATACAAATTCCAAGATTAATCCAGACACCAAATAACACTACTATTATAAAGTTCAATCGATTCCCTACGTAGAAAAATCAAAAGTTGTGTACTTTTATAAGTAATAACATTTTTAAAAAATTGTTTGTTTACCTTACCGTAGCTTATTTTTGGTGATATGTGGTTTCCATGGAAACACAAAATTGTTTGTTATTCGCTAAAATAAATGAGTAAATACGCAAATCAAGAAGCAGGATATTTATAAACATTATAATAGTAAGAAGAAACAAAAATGGCGAAAAACAATAATAACTAAATGACTAATGGCGCTGCCTAGCGGTGACACGAGCGGCACTCGTAAGTCGGCCGCTGGGCCTGCAGCGGCCGTACGAGTAACGCTCGTAAGTCGGCGCCAATGGGTTAATTTGACAGTTTGTTCAAAGAGCAGAGGTCATAAGAGGTACAGGTTCTGCTCCCGAAATATACTAAAAATATAAACAAACATATCAAAGTAAATATAAAACATCTGATTATAGATAAAAAGGTTTTGGTTATGTATTAACAGGCCATATAAATAGATTTACACATTAAAGACTAAATACCCCCGCCGCACCAAACCTGCCGACTAAGCGAATTCACTCCACTCATAGTTTCATATCAAAAAGCCTGTGATACTCAAAAGCCTGCAATGTAAACCTTCAATCAACATTAAATGTTACTGAATTATGAGTGGTGGGAGGCTGTGGTAGATTTACGACCAGGCCATGGTTTAGGACCGCAGTGGTATTGTACAAAATGCCGCAGTCACTTGTGACGATGATGATGTTCCCTTGATTGAGGGAGATGTTCACGATTTCCCCGCGATCGTGGGTGACAACGATGATGTCCCCTTGATCGCGGGAGATTCTTAGGATTTCTCTGAAAATTTCCCACTAGAAAAGGGAAAGTTCCACCTAAAGGGCGGGGGCAACTTAGGTTAGTTTGGCATTGTCTGCAAGTACCCTAAATACAGCACTTGTGGGAAAGGTGGGGGGAGGTTAGTAGCCTACAACCCAAAATTCCTGGCAATGGCCCTCTCCAAGAATCCGTGCTAGATTAGATATATATTGATTCAGATGATTTGTGTCTCAAATGGTTATTTAAGTTAAATCGCTTAAATGTGAATGAGTATAATGTTACAAAAATTGACCTTGCTATCCCTAAATGAATGCAAGAAGTACTCTTGGTATTTAATGTTTTGAATTTTTTCATGTTCTTAGATTCAACGGGAAAGTGATCAGCAATTAATGAATGAACTTGTTGAAGAGAAAGAGACACTTTTACAGAAGTTAACTCTCCTTAATACTGAAAAACAAGCTTTGCAAAGTGAACTCTCCGAAACAAAGGAACATCTTGACCAAAAAAATACTGATCTGCGGAATCTTAATGTTACTCTTGAGGTAAGAGACTAGAAAATATTCTTTCAATTTCATAATACCTGACAATATTTTACTGTAGCATTTTAAACATATTGACATTGACTTTACAATAACAGTACGCTATGTCTACTTTTCCAGAGTTTGCGAGAAGAAAAGTTTTTGATGCAAGGTGAGATTCAACTCTTAAAAGTTTCAGACAGCAATGCTCCTAGAGGCAACTCTCTTTTTGCAGAAGTTGAAGATAATCGTCAGAAAGTTGCTGCCCAAAGAGAATTTTTGAAGATGAAATATATTAATCTGAAAAAGATTGTTGGACAAAAGCAGGTCGAAAACAACAAACTAAAGGTATGTCCATATTGCTATAATGATGTCAGTGTTAACTGTTGATTAAATTATCATTGGTCTAAGCACTCTAAGCAGTTTAAGACCTAGACCCGGGACGGACATACTTTTTTCATTTTGATGTCCCCAGAGGCCAAAAACACTATTTCGTTCAAATTGTTATATGTGTGTCCGTGAACGCGATAACTTGAATAGTTTTGGTCTGATTTTGATTAAATTTGGCTTTAAGTGTAGGGCAAGATAAGCTTGAATGAGTTAAGCGAAACTCTTGCGATCCAGCAAGATTGGGTCATGAGAACAAATTATTTATATTATGGGGTTTTAAAATGTGAAAAATTGTTTTTCAAATTTTTTCCTTTAACCCTTCGGGTCCCAAGTGCCGATGTGATCGGCACTTCAGTTTTATCTGAAAAGGCCCGAGTGCCGATAGGTTCGGCACTTCAGTTTTATCTGAAAAGGCCCGAGTGCCGATGTCATCGTCACTATATATGTATGCGAAAAAACCCAAGTGCCGATGTCATCGGCTTTTTGTAAATCTACTACTACAAAATTATTTATGAAGCTATTCCACCGAAAGATATATCAAAGGAGGGCAAATTAAATTTCTGTCCGTCAATCCAGTGAATACATTAAAATGACTTGGATCTTGATAGGTACTCTCGTTTTCCTGGAGAAGAGAGCGTAAAATGCCATCTTGAGTGTTACAGACAGACAGACAGAAATTGAGATAAGACACGTTTCTGCTTCTTTAATAAATAAAACGTAAAAATAACCTAAAAGTATACAATTCTGGGCAATGTACAGACAAAACTCTAATTTTATTTATATAGAAGATTTCACCTTATATTATTATCTTCAAAAGGAAATTTTGTCTTAAAATAGACTCAGTTATAGAGGAAAAATACAAGTGAATATTAAAATAACTATTTCAACAATAAATAAAACAGCCGTAAAAGCCTGACTCGAACTTGATTTTCCGACTTCGTGCTTGATCTCTGGAGCCTGTAGGCCAGCCTCGATTCGCATGCCTATGATTTTTGGACATAAAAAAGATGTAACGATCTTGCGACATCTTCTTAGTCTGTCGTGTTATGCCTAACTGACTATATTAGTTTTAAAAAGAAAAACCTCAATATCTATTTAAATTAACTTTTGCTGAAGGACTGGTTTTTAGCGGATTTCCCATATAGGGAATAAGCTATTACCGTAGGTCTCATGGTAAGACCTAGACCCGGGACCGATTTACTTTTTCGTTTTGAGGTCCCCAGAGGCCAAAAACACCATCCGTTCAAATTCATATATATTAGGGATGGACGGGATTGAATTTTTAGTTCGGGACGGGACGGGATTTTTATTTCCTTCCCGATTTTCGGGACGGGACGGGACGGGATTTTTTTCTGTACATAAAAAGAAAGTACTGTATTGTAGTTACCAAAAAAGATATACAAAATCAATTTTTACCATTTGTGGCACTGATCTATAAAAACCAAAAAATGGGTAACAATTTACATGTACCTATAGAAACTTGTGACTCGCGGGTCACGGGATGATCGTCTGTATGACTCACGGTCACGGCGCGATCGTCGTTATGACTAGTGGTCACGGCGCGATCGTCGTCATGACTCGCGGTCACGGCGCGATCGTCGGTATGACTCCGCGGTCACGGGGTTATCGTTTGGTATGACTCACGGTCATGGCATTATCGTCGGTATGACTCGCGATCACGGCTCGATCGTCAGCATGACTCCGCGGTCACGGCGCGATCGTCGTCATGACTCGCGCTCACGGCGCGATCGTCGGTATGACTCCGCGGTCACGGGGTTATCGTTGGTATGACTCGCGGTCACGGCATTATCGTCGGTATGACTCGCGATCACGGCTCGATCGTCAGCATGACTCCGCGGTCACGGCGCGATCGTCGTCATGACTCGCGATCACGGCTCGATCGTCAGCATGACTCCGCGGTCACGGCGCGATCGTCGTCATGACTCGCGATCACGGCTCGATCGTCAGCATGACTCCGCGGTCACGGCGCGATCATCGGTTTGACTCGCAGTCACGACGCGATCGTCGGTATGACTCGCGGTCACGGCATGATCGTTGGTATGACTCGCGGTCACGGCATTATCGTCGGTATGACTCGCGATCACGGCTCGATCGTCAGCATGACTCCGCGGTCACGGCGCGATCGTCGTTATGACTCGCGGTCACGGCGCGATCGTCGGTATGACTCGCGGTAACGGCGTGATCGTCGGTATGACTCGCGGTAACGGCGCGATCGTCGGTATGACTCCGCGGTCACGGGGTTATCGTCGGTATGACTCGCGGTCACGGCATTCTCGTCGGTATGACTCCGCGGTCACAGCCCGATCGTCGTTATGACTCGCGATCTCGGTGCGATCGTCGGTCCAATAATCGCGGCCACGGCGCGATCGTCGTTATGACTCCGCGGTCACGGCGTAATCATCGAAATGACTTCGTCTCCTGCGTTCGCGGACCTATCGCTCGCAATAACGGCGTTATCGGAACTCGTGAAGCGGAAAAATCGCCGACGATCGGACCAAATCCCGTCCCGAAAAATTCCCGAGTCAAATGTAATCCCGTCCCGATAATCGGGAATATTTTTTTCCCGAAAAATTCCCGAAATTTCGGGACCCGTCCATCCCTAATATATATATATATTTATATATGTGTCCATTAGCGCGATAACTCGAGCAAAATTGATCCGATTTTGATGAAATTTGGTACAAACGTGTAAACTTACATTTATTCGAACGAGTTCGCGAACCAGCATAATCGGACCAAGGGATCAGGGGTTTATGGGGGGTTTTATGGGGTAAAAATAGGTTTTTCTAATTTTTGACCTTAAAAACTTTAAATTTCTAAATTTCTCTCTAGACCATTTTGAAGAGCTTAAAAAAACAAATAATTTAGTATATTGAAGTGTTTTTGAATGTTCATTGACTACGGAGAAAATTAAAAAAAAATGTAAATTTAAAATTCCCATGTTTATGGAGAATAAATAAACTGTTCTAGTTTGCTTGTTTATGGATATATTTTAATCAAATTTGGCAATTTGGTTTATTTCATACTAAGCTATCAATATTTCAATTGAAAAAACACACCTCAACATCTTCCCCGTAGCAGCAAACCTAACTACTCACTAAAATTAATGTTATTTAAATAGGAAATGAAATCTGAAAATTATAGGGAATATTTTAATTGAAATCAAGCCGGGTAAATGGAAATTCGCTTAGTATGCAGGTTTGCTGCGACGGGGGTATTATTTATTTGTTTTGTCCTAGTATTTAATTTTATAGTCATATGTTGAATTGTTTCAAAATGTAAATAAAGTTTAGTTTGTTGTTTTGTTTTGCATTGAAAACAAGCTCATTTCTATTCTGTTAAAATTTATCTAGATTTTGTCATTTCTGTCACTTCTACCAAAATCGTCCGTGATATCACTATTAATCGTGAATCGCGTATCAGTGATGAGGATGACGACAAGTCTAAAGCTCAGGAGCCACTGCATTTGGAGTAAATAAATAGATAAATAAATAAAAAGGCCTTTATTTGCAAGCGAGTTTCATATACATTATTTTCAAACTTACTCAAGTCAAACTAAAACTAAACTAACCTAATATATACAGAAATATGATATACAAAATAACTACAAAAAAAAAAACATTTACAATTTACATTTGTTTTTCTGCATTGCGGCCCTGAATGAGCCATATGATTTGAAGCTCTTTATGTCCTGAGGGAGGCCATTATACAACTGCGGGCTAAAATAAGAAAATTACTTTCTTCCAACCTCAAGCCTCACTTTAGGAAAGTGAAGCCTGCGGTCGGAACGAGTACCACGCAGACAGATCTCCCCCCTGTACTTAAGCCTCTCGCTGAGGTACTGTGGCTCTCCCAGCGTGAGCACTTTGTGGACCAGGCAGCAGGTCAGCCTCCTGCACATGTCATCCATTGGGATGAGCTTTGCAGCATCTCGGAAGGAGGACACGTGGTCACTGTAATATGTTTCCTTTAATAATTACAAGTGTTTCTACCCGCGAATTCACGGGTCTACAGAAGCCACCATTAAATTAATTTAATCATCTTCGACTTTATATTTCATTTAAAGGGCCCAAGTTCGAGAAATTGTCATCTGAAAGGATGGTAAAAGCAGTGGAACCTTCATACCTTACGTCCTAGGTGGCCGAGGTGGGTACGGTTGTTCTTGAACTCGCTGCTCTCGTTCACGACGTCTTTAATATTTTAATACTACTTTAATACTCTTCAAAGAGATGGCGACCTGTTAAAGATCGGTGACAACATCTTAGAACGAACAACATACATGGTTTGTTAATCTCATATTCATCGTGTTTCGAACACTTTTAATCACTCACTTGTAACAAACAGCTAGAAATAGCTTCACAGTCCCTTCACCGCACCTCTTTTAAGAACATAAAAGTAAATAATAAAATAAGTAAACAAAAATGTAAACAAACAAACTATATTGTCAATTGCATTGGCCAGCTGTTGTTCACTAAATTAATCGAATAACCTTAACTTCCAAACATGCAAGGCGTAGCCCTATAGAAATCAGCCTGTGGGGCAGAGCCCTTAGGGAGTTCGTCCATATCAGTACTTTTCGGCAAATCTACACACTCTAAGCTTCGTTTTGATATGCCATATGCCTATATTTTTATTTGGTAAATGGCCTTAACCGTTTACATAAAATTTGATTGTATCACTTTAATAATATAATAGATTTCTTTCATCAATTATTTTCAGATGGAAATAGTTAAAATTCGTAGAGAAGAAAAAGAAGATGAAAAAAGTGTTCATCATGACTACAATACTCTAATTGAAACATACAAGCAAAGAGTTTGGGTATGTACTATTTGAAATTAAATCTACTATAATCTAAAGTAGGGATGTGCGATACTCAAGTACCGGTAATCGAGTTTTTTTGATCGAGTATTTCTGTACTCGGCTTGACTCAAGCTTTTCAAGAAAACTTGGAAGAGTGAAACTTTTATGTGTTTGCTGGACACATTTTATATTTGTACAGTGTAGCAGAATCAAAGAACAATCTTTACTCTTGCAATTTATTCAAACAAATTGCTACTTTTGATACTGCAAGGTCAAGACTAAAATAGTGTAGATGGAACAGATTAATGTCATCTAGAGCTAGCCAACAAGTTATACAAAGAAATATAGCAAATTATAAAATAAAATACCCCCGCCGCAGTAAACCGGCTGACTAAGCGAATTTCCATTTGTCTGAATTTTCTATTCTATCTATTTAAATAACATTAGGTTTAACGAGTACCTAGGTTTGCTGCTACGGTGCAAGGAAACTAATAAAGTGGGTTTTTTTAGTAAAGTACTAATAGCATAGTATAAAATAAATAAATTTGCCAAGTTTGATCAAAATATATAAATAAACAAGCAAACTACAAAATTTTACAATATAAGAAAAACATGGGAATTTTAAATGTATATTTTTTGGAATTTTCTCCATTACCAATAACCCTACAACACTTTGATATACTTTTTTTTTACAGCATTTATTTCTGGTTCAATGTAGACATTATACACAGAAGTGTTAACAAAATGAATAAAAATTAACTATAATAACATCGTGGGTTCGCCCAAACCTGGGACTTTGTTTTTCTTTAGCTCTTTAAAAAGGTCTAGAGAGAAATTGGGAAATTTTGTGTTTTGAGAGTCAAAAATAAGAAAACCCAATTTTTAGCCCATAAAACCCCGTGCCCATGCTCTGATCATAACAAAATTTAGAAGACCAACACCAAACTCTTAATTAGTTAACAACCTCATAAGATTACAGGGGGGGGGGGGTACAATTTCTACTCTGACATATGGCTCTCTGAAAAAAGGAGGTTTGGAGACTCCTGGTTTATACGTAAAACTGTATAGTTTTTTTTTTTTCTGTGCCTAATAGGCGAGACTTGACATAGCAGCCATGAGTCTACTTGGGTTATGATTTATTACTTATCTTGTTATTAATTTCTTTTGCCTGGGCTGGTTATTTTGACACCTCTAACCTGAGAACATATATATTGATTGCTAGTTACACATTTATGTTTAGAGTATTTTTGATGTTTCTTTGTAGGTATGTTTAAGCATAGATAAAACATACTCCCTTAGCGATTTTAATTAGTTTTGTATTCTCCACACACTCGAGTAGCCGTCGATAGCTAATAACATTATTATTATTATCAAATATTATTTAATCTAGTGATTGTGCTTAAATGTTGGGATAGCTGTTTTATTGCTTGAATAGTTATAAATCTTGTGTTGCTTAGTCTATGGTTTAAGTTAGTTAGTGTTCCATGTAAAAGAAGGATATCAATCTAAAGGATGGTTTTATGAGGATTAAGGGTTTAGGGTGCAAAGTCTTCTCGGCCAGTGGTCTGTCAGGCCTAACCTAACCCGAAAAGGAGGGGAGACCACGGAAAGAAGAACCTTCGGCCACAGGAAGTATGTTTTGTGTCTCAGTGTATGTTGTTGAATAGTCTCTTATAAATTTCATTTTCCTTTCTCTCATATGTTCTTTTGATAATGATCAGGAAACTTGATAATTCTTTGTAAATATTGCAGTTTAAACTTGTTAGAATTGTCCTAATTTTTTGTTCATTGCTGTCGCCGTTTATTCCATTGATTCTTTTAAAACATTTGTTTCTAGCATATGACTGTACAAAATTAACAGTTTTATTCGCCATGTTGAGTAATATTTTACGGTTTTGGGGGTTTATGTACCTATTTTTTTAGTTTCGTATCTAATTAAATTAAATGTCACATTGGGAGTGAATTTCCGTGTATGTGTCAATTTTGTTATCTAATTAATTGCCAAAGATAGTTCAGCAGTGCTGGGTTTAAAGGTGTTGTGTATGCCTATTTCTTTTATAGGCTACACTCATTGTATATTTCCTTTATATACCTTACATATTTAATACCTTGAAGACACTTGAAGATGGTAGGTAAAATAATAAGATGTGCATCTTGTGATGGTTCAACATAGAAGGGTTTATTCATCGTAAGCTATGATATCACTTTATAAGTTTTGGTATGATGAGTAATGATAAGTAATGATATTTGGTATTGTTGTGTTGTGTTTATTCTACATTAGTTACAATAGTAGTGGTGGGGACCACGGCCTCATACATGAATCTTAATAAACACCAAAGAGTATAGAACTGACATATATATATATAACTTGATACATTACAAAGGCCGTTGTACACGAGGACAATAGTGACATCCAGTAGCGGTGGCCATACACAAATACATTATACATTCGACTGCAAAGGTCAACTTAATTTTTGTGAGTGTAGGTCGCCAATTTCAAGCAGTTGGGAAAATGGCAGGCAGCGACCTATACTCGCCATTCAACCGCAAAGGGTTCGTTTAAAATAATCTATCTAGTTTCTATTTTTCGTGAATAGTCACATTCCTTTTTAAAAATGATAGGGCAACTCAGTGAAACATTCAAACCAAATGCCGTTATTCACTCATCATCGTTACCAAGGTATAAAATAGAATTTTAGACACTAGCACATTCTGTGACTGGCTCACACAACTACATTCTTTTTTAATAAAAAATTTGCTACAGCTGGTCCATATAGATGGGAAGTCTACTTCAGTATCCAATTGTCAATGCCGTTACTCTTATCAGACGAGGAAGAAAATGTTGACGATGTGTAGGCCTATGTTGTGATCTGCTGATCCCAATTAATCAACAGGCTAACTATTCAAGCAATAAAACAGCTATCCCAATATTTAAGCACAATCACTAGATTAAATAATATTTGATAATAATAATAATGTTATTAGCTATCGACGGCTACTCGAGTGTGTGGAGAATATAAAACTAATTAAAATCGCTATATCACTAGTCAATGTCGATTATCCAATCATTAACAACTATAAACAATGGCTGACTTCTTACCTCTTATTCTACAGCTTATTCTATGTAGTGGGTTTGACGTCGTCTATTATAAATACCAATCGTTAGCTGAGACCAGACGAAAATCGTAACAATTGTCGAGTAAAACATCAAGTAAACAGATTATGTCGATGGCCAATCGTAAATATCTTATAGTTGTGTTTTGTTTAACCCTCTTTACATTTCAATTAAAATCCAGTAATTCGCTAAGCATAACCTATAGGGTATTAAGCCATAGAATGGCGTACGCTTGTAGAATGGATGCTGCTTGTGCAAATATTTGTGAAGACTTTGTTAAAGTAGGATTTGGTTTTGAAAGATGAGAGTCAGTATACCACTATACTGTACCTATTACGTTTTCTTTTCAAATCTAAGGAATGTCACTAGCTGGTATGACGTGATAAATGCAAAAGGAAATAAAAAAAAACTCATTTATTCTAAACAAAATTTTTACGATGACTAGGGAATCGTACAAAAATGACAAATGTACAGTAATGTAATCTGTCATAAATCGCCGTTTGTAAATTTTCAGGTCCTCGTCGTGTAATTTGTGTTTGCGGTAAATGACCACGATGTATCCGTGATCACGAGAGATGATAACGATTTTGCTGTAATCGCGGGACATGACCACGATGTTGCTCTGATCGTTTGAGATAACTACAATGTTGCCATGATTGCAGGAAATGACCATGACGTTGTGGTGACAGGTGTTAATTAAACACATAATTTTTCGATATTATGTATAAAAGAGAAATTTGCTACTTTTCCGTTAAATTTGGGCAATGACCTACTGCCAACCAGCTGCAAATAATCTGTTTCTGTGTTTATGTTGTAGGTAAACTTGGGGGGGGGGGACTTTAAACAATAATAACACTGACATCTGCAAAAGGGCTATTCTGAGTCCACTAAATTAATTATGTTTCAAAATAACCAATAAGGTTCTTGAAAAAGTACCATGTTTAGAAGGGGTTTACTGATTTATAGTTTCAGTTATTAGCCTAGTGACAATTGTTATCAGCAATTGTAATTCCCTGAAGAGTTTCCTAAGAGCCTTAAAGGAGGTAGTCTTCTATCAAGAAATATCAAAAAGAAGGTGTGTGCACTTACATCCCCCCTCCCCCACTCCAAGCAGCGTTAGTGTGACGTAGTGTGCTCTACAGCTGAGCGGTATGCTTTTATAAATAAATAAAAGACAGTCCATTAGTAAAAGATTAAAATACATATTGGAGTTTTAAACTATGACTGACTAGGCATTTCATGAAAATTCTTATGTTTATTAAGCTTTTAGGGTCTTGTGTTTAAGTCAAGTACTAGTATTCCATGTAGGCCTATTCTAAGCATATTAAAAAACCATAGTTATAAGGGCTGACATTATTATGTAGGCTAAATATTGGTTTTATTTTACAGCCACCATTTGCTCAGTCTATTTTTAAGATGAATATAAATATAAATCGTAGCAACAAACTTGCTAGGCTACTCACCAAGAAATTGCCGTTATTTGGTAGATGATGCCGTACCCAAATTATTTTTTCCCTTCACTGCATTTAGAATACAAGAATTACAAGAAAACATATTATTTGGTAAAATAAAATAGGTTCAGCAAGCAGTTTGTACGGTAGGAAGACTTGCACGTGACGTAGATGCGCGAACTGGACGAGTTTACGCCGCATGATGCACACACCTTCTTTTATACATCTTGGTCTCCTTTGACACCGGATAGTTCTTTATTTTGTTAGCTCTTTAATTGTTATAGAAAGAAAACCTTAACAAATTCCAAGATTAATCCAGACACCAAATGACACTATTATCATAAAGTTCAATTTATTCCCTAAGTAGAAAAATCACAATTTGTTTACTTTTATAAGTAATAACATAGAAAAACATTGTTTGTTTTATCTTACCACAGCTCATTTTGGGTGATATCTGGTTCTATTACAACACAACATTTGTTATTCCCAAAACTAAATTATTAAATATGCAAAACAAGAAGCAAGATATTTATAAACATCATAAAAGAAAAGTAAAAAAATAAAAATAGAAAAAAATTTTAAAATAAAGAAGGGGGTCAGACGAGTAACGCTTGTAAGTTGGCACCAATGGGTTAACCACTAGCAAATTGTCATTAGCTTAACTTATTAGTCCTACATAATACCTCCTATTGATTACTTTACTAACTGAATGGATTCATTCGAGTACAGAAACTGCTCAATAAGAACAGCTTCATAAGAAGACAGCTCAAACTTTTTTTGTGCAAAATCACACTAGTATAAATTAATTTGGAATCGTAGCCATATAAAAACTTGAAATTTAATCACATCACCTTATTAAAAATAGAGTATGAATAATTAACTGCTCTGAGGTATTATAATGCCGCAGTTAATTATCATAATGTAAACTTAATAATATGGTGGGTGGAGGGATGGGGAGTGTGAGAAAAGTTAAGGAGACTAAGGGGGGTGTGGAGCATAAAAGTTTGGGGACCCCTGTTTTAACCCTTCCCGAGCGTTACCATATATATACACAACTCAATCTGAAGGGCACGGCACAAGCATACGACGCATATAAATGTCAAAACATGTAAACCTCATTTAGGTATTTTAAAGTTGTTTCTTGGCAGTCAACTGAAAATTTACCTTAGGCCATTAATCAATATTATTGTTGCGATAAAGTTTTTTATTTTTTGTGGTAAATTTCTGATTGGTGGGTTGGCATCACTGATCTCGTAACATCTGTTGTTTTAAAAACCAGCCGGCTGAGTCATTCTCATGTTATTGTTTCACGCTTGCAGTCAAATGTTTTCTTGTCTTGTCTTCTTTCTTATGTGTTCTTGAGTGAAGTAAATCTAGTGAGATAAGTTTAATGGAACATATTTAGTGCATTAGAATGTGTTGTGTTTTTTTTTATTGAAAATGACGTTTAGATTGAATCTCCCGAATCAATATGTTTAATTATAATATGATTACATAAGTCTGTTTTGTCTTTTGGTAATAATAAAGAAGTCATATTGTTCTTATCATGATTTTTTATTTCATTAACCCTTTTAACAGATTATTACAAATTAATGTTATGCCTAAACAAAATTTACAAGCGTAATATTTATATGGATCAATGCATTCATTAGCAAGCGTTGGACGTATATATACGCCGCAACAACTATGGTCTTAAAACTTTAAAAAATTTTTTTATAAAAATATGTCTATAATCAACTTAAACCTTAGATAGAAGTGGAAAAACATCAAAATTTAAAATCTTTTTTTTAACCACAACCAAATTATTGATCAAGTGGTGAGTAAGACTTCGCCCTGCAGCCGCCGCTTGGGTATGGTTAAGCTATTAACATTTCAATGAAAACACTATTTAGTACTTCGCTTCAGCAGCAAACCAAAATACACATTACAGTTAATGTTCTTGATTTAAAAAATCTGTAAGCTTTAAGGGAATATTTTAGGGAAAATCAAACCAGGTAAATAAGCCTAATCTGCAGGTTTGCTGCGACAGGGAATTCACATTTAAAATAAAGTAGGCCTACCTGTGTATTTAATTTTTTTAGGAAACTATATTTAAATATTTTGAAGCAATCACGCATGTCAATTCACTATAAAAAAACTTGACTCAAAAAAGCTCAAAGCTTGCAAGTTTTTTTGTTAATTTGACTCATAAATTTACTACTATACGCAAGCAGTTTACTTTTCACAGTCATAACTCGATAATGGCTTATCGGATTTTAACGTTTGAGGTGTCAAATTATAGGTATTTTCACTTAGATGTGCAAATCATGTCTCAGAACATTTAGAAAGGGCATCGCTTAAGTACAGTTAAGGGCTAAGGTTTGGGAACGGCGGCGCTATCTGATGACATTAGATCAAACCATCAAACTCAATTCCCTTTGTTTACAATTAAACATATGGACGTAGTTTGAAATAGTTTTTAAGTTTAACCACAGACTGCAGGACTAATTATTTCCAGAGCAAAGCCGGAATTTTATATATTTTATTTAAACATCTGTTAACTAAGTCTGGATTATAAATAAAAATTAAGCTTCCTTGCAAGACCTGACAACAAATTGTTTGTAATAGTTGAATTTATTTACCTTAAGTCGTATTTTACTGAATTATCATGTAGTTTTGAATACAGTTTTGTGTGGTTAAGTGAATGTTTGAAAGTGATTATTCACAGAGCAGTTACCCGTTACATTACCATATTATCATGTAATTTACAATGTGTATCAAAATTCCTTTTGTAGTGTTTTCTGTTGATTGTTTAACTTTCGTATTTTACCTAAATTTAAAATTAAATGCCACCAGTGGCAGTAACATGAAGCACTGTGAGTGGCTGGAGGGAACTCAAACGTGACCATTTGCATCAACCTTCCAATTTGACGGATACAGAGTGGCAGTACGTACCACCGTGGTGATACACAATCTCGGACAAATAAACGTTCAATTTTTACATTGTGGTGGCTTACATTTTAAGCAAGAAAAGACTGGCCGAGTCAGTTCAATTGTTACTCTTTGTTGCCATAAATGAAAGGTTCGTTTACATCATTTGCGAAATTACCATACTTTCAGGAACTTATTGGAAACTCCCAATCTGAAAACAGAGCTGTGAGGCTTGGATCCAGAAATTATCTTGATAAAATTCGTCAATTCAATTCTGCCTTTGCCATCGTCAGCTCTGAAGCTCATTTTTACAAGAGGGTCACACAGGGGAAATACAATTTTAAGATCCATGACCCGTTTTACCACCGAGTAGGTAATCTAATTCCTCAAGAAGGTCAGGATCCTGAATACGCACAGATCTTTAAGTAGGAATTTGGCACTGGAACCCAACAGCGCATGTAAAACAATAAAAAAAAATCAATGAAAAAATATGTGGGAAATAGGGTCACAATGCCAACCCATTTGCCTAATCTTTTAAACTGTGGCAGAAATTTGTAGGGACAAGAGCTCCGAAGAATCAAGTTAGATTCTTATGTGCATAGTAAGAGACAAATGAAGTTACTTCTTACTTCCCTCGCTACAATGATGCTATCTGTATAGATGTCGCAGCTATTTTAAAGCTGAAAACAGAGCACCACCCACCAGGCCAAATAAATCTTTTTTTTTACGAATAGTGTTAAACGTGAATCCGTTCTAGATACGTTGTTAAATCCATTCTTATGTTCCCAACCGGAGACTTTGGTTGGGGCACCTAATCTAAACATACCTAAGTAGAACATACAGGGTGAATAAAAAGTCAAGACCCCCCCCCATCTAATATTTTTCCAAGTAAATATACAGAGATATCCTTTTGGGGGTCGTGCAATCTTAGCAGAAAGTTTTATTTTATGATTTTGAAATTTTTGAGTGTCCCCCAAAAAGGGGGATTTGGGGGGTAACTCAAATATTTTAAATGTAAACCCCCTTCAAGTGACACCTCAATTTAAAGTGTTTACAAAAACTTAAAGAATGGTGAAAACTAGAGGTCGCTATCTCTTCTCTATCCAAAATAGTAGCCCGTCAAATGTTGTGGAAAATCAATGGTTAATATTGGTTCGTAATGGTAATATTGGCTACCATTTTGGATAGAGAAGAGATGGTTTTCACCATTCTTTAAGTTTTTGTAAACACTTCAAAATGAGGTGTCACTTGATGGGGGTTTACATTGAAAAGTCTTTAGTTGCCCCCCCCCTCCAATCACCCCTTTTGGGGGACACTCAAAAATTTTAAATGTAAACCCCCATTTAGTGACACCTCATTTTGAAGTGTTGAAAAAAAACTTAAAGAATGGTGAAAACCAGAGTTCGCTATCTCTTCTCTATCCAAAATGGTAGCCAATATTACCATTACGAACCAATTTTACCATTGATTTTCCACAACATTTGATGGGCTACCATTTTGGATAGAGAAGAGATAGCGACCTCTAGTTTTCCCCATTCTTTAAGTTTTTCTAAGCACTTCAAAATGAGGTGTCACTTGAAGGGGGTTTACATTTAAAATATTTGAGTTGCCCCCCAAATCCCCCTTTTGGGGGGACACTCAAAAATGTCAAAATCATAAAATGAAACTTCCTGCTAAGATTGCACAACCCCCAAAAGGATATCTCTGTATATTTACTTGGAAAAATATTAGATGGGGGGGTCTTGACTTTTTATTCACCCTGTATAGTAGAAATAATTTTATGCTATAGTGTCGTACTGGTTGGCGTCAAGAGAGGGATTTAGCTTGGTACATTAGGTCTGAAAAGCTCACTTTACAGTGTGTGGTTGACATCTACGTTCTCATAGAGGGCACCCGCCCACAGTACATACGAGATAACCAAAGCAGCATGAGAACGGATCTATATTTAAATATTGTACCCTAGATTACTTTTATAATATTTTACAACATAATATTATTTACATTTCTATAGTCAGTCATAGAAATTACGATTGAGGTTTTGCTGTTAATATTTTTTTCTTCATTATTTTATTAAAAGTTGCAGTTTTGCTCGATTTCGAGCAACAGGTTATCTAGTCTAAAGTAATACAGAAATTATATGTTCTCTATGCAATTAATTGAATCTGTTTTGATTCATTTGTTGCCCTGTCTTTTATTCTAGGAATTGGAAGAACGAGTAAAGGAACTAGAAAAGAAAAGTGAAACACAACCAATTATGATGTCAGAGTCTGACAATTCCCAATGGATGTGGGTGAACTCTATGGTAGAGAACGCAAGGTAAGGATGGATGGAACTACAAACTGTATTTAATTGTGAAGGGGAAATCATAGGGATTTCAAAACAAAATGGATCCATTTATTATACTTTGATCCATTGATGGTGAAGAAAAAACACACACTGCATTTAGTAGCAGGAAATTTTAACCAGACTTGCCTCCTGGCAGTTTTCCAACTATTTCAACCTGCAATAATCCGCGGTAAAAATTTAAATTAAAGTTAAGGAATGAATTATTTGCACTAAGATCATTTTGTCTTTCGGTATCATAGCATGGGGTGGCTGTTATAAAAGTATTATGAATAATTTAAATCTTGCCCAAAAAACCATGATAAAAATAGGATTTGGAAGATGCAGATGATACCCATCAGTTGCTTCATTTGAGGAAACATCCCTTTTTTCTATTCGCCAACTTTACATTAAAAATATATTAATTCATATTTTCAAAAATTACAATTGTTTAATACCAATTCAAACTAAAAAAATACTTCTAAAAAGAAACATTTATTAGTATAAAAACATGCTAATAGGCCAACAGTCAGTAATGTTCAGTCGGTTGTGCAATAGACAGTAAAACCAGTTGAGCAGTAGACGTTTACACATTGGTGACACGATCTCAAATTATAATCATGATGATATTGTGTAAGTAGACATTACAAATTTTTATGATTTTAAAAGCTAAACAGCTATTTAGTGATTACCATTTCAGGCCTTAAAACTTTCCACAGTTTTTAAAATGCATGATAAACCGTTCGAATACCCGTTAGTGGTTAGCTAGGGGTATTTTATTTGATAATGAGACTGATGTTTCACAATTAAATTGCACCAAATATGAATTTTGTTATTTTAAAGTTTTGTTATACTTGGATATTTTTACGCATTATTGGTTTTTACAGATCAGTGCCACAAAGGCTGAAAATTGGTTTTGTTTTTACATCGATATCTGCAATAATGTTTACTTAAAATATTTAGAACAAACCTTTTTTGCCTAGAAAATTTCCTGCCCCGTCCTGTCCTGAAAATTGAGTAGGAAATAAAAATCCCGTCCCGTCCTGAATTAAAGATACAATGTTGTCCATCCCTATTAAAAAAAAAAAACACTTTTCTACTGTAAGGATTCAGTATATTAATTTAGACAGTTGGGGAAACGTAACGGATTTTGACGTAAATAAAAGTTGCTACATTTTAATTTAAAATTATCATGGTCAAGACAGGATTGTAAAAATATATTTAAATCTAGAAAAAAGTGTTTTACCTATAACCATTTTTTGAACTAACCGTTTCACTTCAGTTCTTAGAATTTAAAAGATTCACTAAACAGCATTGTTTTACTTAACAATACCAGTAACCAACCAAGGACAAAAAACGCCTGTTGTCGCTCCGAAAAATCAAACTTCTACCAAGAAATGCACTTGTAAAAAACATGCCCAGTTAAATTGTTTTAAAATTGTTCTATAAAGTAGGCTAAATCTTTAATATTAAAAACTGTTCCCTAGAAAAGAAACTCGATCCCTACAAGAAGAGCTGGATAGAAGGGGTTCAAACTACGTGACCCAAGGACATCAGCTGCTGGCCTCTCAGAAAGAGAACAGGAAACTGAAGGCAACCATAGCCAAACTACAATCAGACATCGACGAGATGAGACTACAACTGGACACAATCAAATCAGGTAACATTACAACTATACATACTCATATATCCTCATCCGCTACGGTCATTTCAAAGTCTGGGCTTCTCAATCTTCTCCTGTACCATCTACCATCTCAAGCCTACTCCAGATCCCTCTTCGCCTCAACTATCCACCGATTTCTATATTCTTATGATGGACCCTGAATCACAATGTTAAAGTACCTTTATAATTAAGGTTTTAAATATTAACTGATAACTTGATAACTGATGAGTCGAATTTTGACATTTTGTGATCTGTAATACTAAACCTCTATTACTCGAAGATCCTACTTCACACGACTCAATGACTCTTAAGTTCATTTTTATAAGTCAAAGTTCTCGATGTATCTAAATTATTCAAAGTTTTATGCCATACTGTTGAAGTCAGTTGTTTTTTATTCTTGCAGAGACGAAAATCCATCTTCTTTGTTTATTTGGCTAGTTCTGTTGTGTTAGCCTGCTAGTTATTGAGATTATTTTGGGCCCATCGAACATTTTATCATTACCAATTAAAATGGGGACACCACCTAGGTGCTTATTTTAACCTCATTTTAAAATCTTATTTTTAAAATAAGAGTGAAGGATGAGTGTAGGTGGAATGAAGTGTGATGATCCGTCTAGCTTTGTTACTGACTTAGATCAGCTGTTTCATATGAGTGACGGATGAGTGTATGTAGAATGAAGTGTGATGATCCGTGTAGCTTTGTTACTACCTTAGATCAGCTGTTTCATATGAGTGAAGGATGAGTGTAGGTAAAATGAAGTAAAAACAAACAAAATAAAGAAATGTTGAAATGTTGTATGATAGCTTCAGTTTCAATTTCAATAGCTATCTGTTGCACTGACAGTGGCAATCGTCTGCTCCTTTTAAACCTACACTCTGTCTGCTGTGCCCTTGCTACGTCACAACATTTTGTGATTGGGTAGTTGGTAACGATGGCAACTTTAGCCTTTGATTGGGTGATTAGTAACCATGGCAATTTGTTGAATGGGTGGATAAAGAGAAATTAAAGAAAGAATACTAGAAGAACAAAGAGAAAAAATAAGCAATATTTGATGTTATTTTATCTTTGTCCGTGTATTTTACATGATTTTACGACTTTTAAGTGGGATACTATTATTTTATACTTCTTTATGCGTTTTTATTGATATTCTTCTGTCCCAAAACGGTGTAGCATTACAGTGTTGCCTTGAGCAGTAGCCTATGACTTAAAAACGGTACAGTAGCTTACTGGACTTTCTGCCATTCTGTTCTTTATTTTGCTGTACGAGTACAATGTTTGGCAATTTGTTTCAGTAAAATTTTAAGAATGTTGTGATTTTAAACGTTGCAGTTTTTATTACTGAACTAAGGTTAATTATTCAACAGATTGCGCAATAGCCTACTACAGTAATTGTATTTTGATGATATAATATGCAAATTATCACATTAACGCCCATTTATACAATATTAGGCGTTGTTTATGAGTTAAAAAATTACTGTTTTTTGTCAGGTTTGTTAACCAGTACCGTGGTTGTCAGTTATCTAAGTCTGATCAAAATACAGTTTTACTGTGTTTTTATGTCAATAAACGCGTCCCTCTGATAACCCGACCTTTTTGCTGTTCCGACCATGCTCCCGGTCCTGTAGGTGACGGATCAGCGAGGTTCTACTGTACCGCTACTGTTAAACTATCTTGAATATTTATTTCAATTTTACAGTTAAAAAAGATGAAGATCAAGATGGTATATCACCTCCTGCCACTGAAGTGGCACTTGAGTACCAGAAGCAGAAGGTGGTGAGATTCAAGGAGGCGTTATCCAAGCAAGTGAATACTTCCAAACACAACTCCTCCTCCAGTGATCCAGACACTTCGCTCATTGAACAAGACAGGTCTCTGAAGGAGACCAACACCAACACATCGCTTGTCACTGTAAAGGAGGAAGATAAAGAGAATTTCGATTACTAGTGAAAATGATCAATTGTGTTTACTTTCTGAAAATTGACAGTTCACCTGAACCCTGCTAACATGTAAAGTTATTTTTTTTCTTCAATAATCAATACTATCTGGGTGTGCCAAAAATAATTTATCTGTTTTATTAGCCTTGATTTGTTCACAGTTTCCTAGCTTTGTGTTATTTATTAGTATATTTCATTACAAGGGCCTAAAAATAGTGATTACTTTGGAATTCCAACATAGCTCTATTTCAACAACTGAGGCGATACCGAGGTCGTCGAAAATTGAGAGAGGTTCAAAAATACCGTTCCAGTACATGTGATGAACTGTATTTTTTGTCATACTGCTCCATTCTTTATTATAGGATGAATTATTGATTGTATTTGATCTCACTTCTATTTATATGTTTATTGAGTTTATGTGTTCTTTCTGTATATTATTTCATGATTATTTTCAGAATAAATATTAAATACATTAAAATGTTATAAATAGTCTACCTATCTGTGTTTCTTTTTTACCTGTCATCTTGGAGTTAAAACATTCAGTCGTCACATTACCATTGCTGGTAAAACATTGTTATTATTTGTTCATTTATTTAATCAGTAGCAAGGTTATAATTTGTAGCTAAGTTATAAGTAGGATGAAAAAACAGTCTCAAAGTTACCTTCCAATAATAACGTCTGCCAATCCATGTGTTTAAAATGATTGGCTCTAGACACAGAAGTGCTAGGTAGATCCTGGGAAAAACTCAGGATGCTTTTCTGGACTCATTTAACAAATTGTCATTTGGCTATAGACTGATGATACTTTTGAACAAATGGTCAACATGAAATAATTAAAAGGCATACAGTGGTAATTTGTTGTACATCAACTTTCTCAAACAGCATTATCATTTCAAAAATAATCTAAATGCAGTACTGTATTTCTTTCATGTTTTGTACCATAGGGAAACCAAAACAAGAAAACTCTTTCAATTTATTCTTTTGACAAAGCAAAAATTACTTTGTTCTCAGCTTACTCAAAACAAAACCCCACTTTTTAAAGAAACTTTTTTTATACTTTCTCTACGTACTTTAAGAGGTTTTTAGGTTACTTAAATTATAATTAATTCTATATTAATTAATTATACAACTTAAGTATCCATTTGGAGGGATGATTAGATGGTTTAGAGTATGATGCTGTTCTCTTTTATGTCCATCATCGAGAGAGCAAGGATCGGAGAGGGGAGAGTTACATGTACGCTCAGCCACGGCAGGGGGTCGAGTTGATCATACAGCCCAGCATCGCAGCTTGCCGACACTATTTGAAATAGCGTGCCGCTATGCGTCACAATCTTATCTTGACCAAAATCTGCTGGGAATTGGATGAGTAGGCAGGTTTGCGATAATTTAACCCTGTATTCATTTTTAACAAAAACTACGGAAGGTAAATAAAAGAAACGTCTTAAAACCCTTAAAACATAAATTTACGCTTATACTCTTACTCACAAGACGGTAAATATACATAAAAGATGGTAAGTGGTGATCGATTTTGATTGGACACTCCAATCATCATCAGACCCAATAGGCGAATGACAAGAATCTTGAATGACGTCCATACTTATATCCTATTGGCTACCGGAAGCACCGGCCAATACATTTTTATAAGTAGGCTACAGGTTGGTCCACGGGAAACGAACACTTTTGAATCAAGTGTTTCTCGGCGACTGTTGGAGTGTGAAACTCGGGTTTAAGGCCATTCAATGCCATTTATGCCATCATTCCGCTGTGGACGAAAGATCATTGCGTGTTGATATACGATGTTTTTTAAAAAAGTGGTGAGTCAACTGTGAAACTCAACATGGTAGGTGTTAGGTAACTGCGTTGCGTTGAAATAAAATAACTTGTAATAAAAAAAAGTAAAGAGCTTTAAGTGGACTGTTACTGTATATTTAGAAAAACAATAAATATAACAGATGTTAATTCAATCATTCCAAATACAAATGTAATAGAGGAAACAAGCAATATGAGAATATGGCAGAGTATCAAACATTTTCCATGTAAGCGGTAGTAGGTTTTCTTCTTTGATGATCACCACATCTCCTTCTTGAATATTTGGAGTGCGGTTGGTCCATTTGCTTCGTTGTTGTAGCGATGTAAGAAATATTCCAGAAATCATCATACTATGCTTCATGAATCACCGCAAGTAACGCTGCCTTCTTCTGCACGGCTATTGACTCCAACTGTCAAGCAATCTACCTTACCTGAGAGTTCTACATCAGCTCACACAGTCACCGCACCACCACTCTTCTTGGCACCGCTGCTATCCAGATAAGAGATTCTGCAGGAAACTACCACACTGTACGAGCTCTATGTGATCCGGGGAGTCAAATGTCATTTATCACTCAAGAATGCTCTCGTAAGTTATCATTACCTGTCCCACCATGCTACACTCCAATCATTGGAATTTTTAAGACAACAACTCATTCATCTCTAGGAGTAGTTGATTGACACATTAAACCTCGATTCAACAATCAATCTTGCCTTCTCAACTAATCGCAAACTCTCTGTGGTGGAATGGTCCAAATTGGCTCTCTGAAAATGAATCGTCCTGGCCTGTACAGGATTATACTCCAATGCCTACAAGTGAACTGCCTGAAACGAAGCATATAGTTGTTAACTCTGTCACTGTTCAAGAAATTGGCATACCAGATATGCTAGAACGTTTCTCTTCATAAACCTGCCTTAAATGCATCACTGCTTGGTGTCTGAGGTTCATTTACAATTGTAAACTTAAATCAAATCAACGTATTAAAGGTCCGTTATCTTCCCAAGAACTGAACAAAAGTCTCATATATGCATTAAATTAGTTCAAGATCAAAGTTTCAGAACTGAAAAATCTAACTTGATATTAAAATTGCCTTGTAAATCTGAGTTTCAAAGACTTGACCCATTCATAGATTAAGATGGAATAATAGGAGTCGGACTCATCTCGCCACCCTGCTATCCTACCAAAAAACAGTCACTCACAAATCTCTTCATTGATCATTCATAATATGTATTTTCATGCAGGACCCAGAACACTTCAGTCACTTCTTCAAAGATCTGTTTGGATTTTATCTTCCCGAAGTGCTGTTAGAAAAAGAATCTTAAAATCCACAACATGTACAAGAATGAAAGCTAAGTGTCATCAACCATTTATGGCAGATTTACCCGCTTATCGAGTCAATGCTTACAGGCCTTTTCTAACAGTTGGTTTTGACTATGGAGGCCCCTTCTTAATTAAGACTAAAGAAAGCAAAAACCCCAAGTTAAGAAAGCCTATTGTGTTTATTTTTTATTTATATGTTTAGCGACTAAAGCCCTTCATCTCGAAGTGGTATCAGCTCTTTCGACAGATGCCTTAATTGCTGCCTTTGATCGATTCATCGCACGAAGAGGTATTTGCACTGATGTATACTCTGACAGAGGCACTAATTTTGTAGGAGCAAAGAAGATCTTTATAAACTTTTTTGTGGTTCTGAGTTTGTTACAAAGTCACCAATCAACTAAGTAACAAAGGAATAACTTGGCATTTGAATCCACCCTTAGCACCTCACCTTGGTGGTATCTGGGAGGCCGGGATTAACGCTGCAAAATCTCGCCTTTATCATGTCATTGGTGACATAATTTTAACATTTGAGGAGCTTTCAACCATTTTCACTCAAATAGAAGCTATACTTAATTCTCGTCCATTGTGCTCTCTTTCAACCGATCATTCAGAAATAGATATTCTCACTCCAGGTCATTATCTCATCGGACAACCTTTAGTAAGTATACCGCAAGAAGATGTCACTGCTTTACCCTTAGATCGAATATCAAGATGGCAACTTATCAATCAAGTGCGGCAACATTTTTGGAAACGATGGTCATTTGAATATTTAAATACGCTACAACAACGAAGCAAATCGACCAACCACACTCCAAATATTCAAGAAGGAGATGTAGTGATCATCAAAGAAGAAAACCTACCACCGCTTACATGGAAAATGGCCAGAGTTAAACACTTGCTACCTGGTAAAGATGGAATCGTCCGAGTTGCAAGATTACAAACCAGTCAAGGAGAAGTCATTTGACCTGTAATAAGACTATGTCTTCTACCAACAAACTAAATGAGAAGAAAAAACAAGTTTTTTGGCGGGCGGTATGTTTGATACTCTTTGCCATATTCTCATATTGCTTGTTTCCTCTATTACATTTGTATTTGAAATGATTGAATTAACATCTGTTATATATTCATTGTTTTTCTAAATATACAGTTACAGTCCACTTAAAGCTCTTTCCTTTTTTTTATTACAAGTTACCGTATTTTATTTACTTATAACATGATAAAATCACAGAATATAAAGTGGGGTGCTTGAAGGCCTACACAAAGATTGCTCTAAAAGTGTTGGAAAACCTTTCTTTATTGATTTCCGCCCGCCGTCAAACACTTCTGGATACAGATCGGCACCTATTAAGAATTCAATTTCACCTGGAACATCAAAGTGAGGGTTGGCTAGATCAAGGTCCTTGTAAACATGCTTAATGTCCTTAGGCAATACTTGAGAAGGAAGTTGAGGAGTAATACTGTCAAGTATTACAGCATTAGTTTGTAGGCAAGGTTGATTCTTGAATCGTGGTTTAATGTGACAATCAACTACTCCTAGAGATGAATGAGTTGTTGTCTTAGAAATTCCAATGATTGGAGTGTAGCATGGTGGGACAGGTAATGATAACTTACGAGAGCATTCTTGAGTGATAAATGACATTTGACTCCCCGGATCACATAGAGCTCGTACAGTGTGGTAGTTTCCTGCAGAATCTCTTATCTGGATAGCAGCGGTGCCAAGAAGAGTGGTGGTGCGGTGACTGTGTGAGACTGTGTGAGCTGATGTAGAACTCTCAGGTAAGGTAGATTGCTTGACAGTTGGAGTCAATAGCGGTGCAGAAGAAGGCAACGTTACTTGCGGTGATTCATTAAGCATAGTATGATGATTTCTAGAACATTTCTTACATAAAACGTTAGATGAACAAGCTTTAGAAGTTTGTCCATGAGATAGGCATTTGAAGCAAGCTTGTTTACTTTTTATGAAGTTTTTTCGTTCATTTACAGATAAAGCTTCAAAATTACAGCATTGATAAATAGAATGATCTTCATTACAAAACAAACACTGGCGCTTAGTGTTCCTTTGTTGTAGATTGGTTGAGAAAAGAATGTCGAGCAGAAGTAGAGGGAGGTGTAGCAGTTGCACCTTTGTTGTTTACATACCTTGTACTTTGACCTATTTTAGGCTTATATGAAACTCCAGAGGAGGTAGGTAGAATCTTTGATTGATAGGGTGGCTGCTTCCAAGGACTTACAGTGATCTTTTAAGAAGTTGATTAAGGTGTGCAGTGTAGGAAACTCCATACCAGGAAATTTCCTTTCAAATAGTTGACGAGTATGTTTGTCTATATTTTGCAAAATAATGTGACAAAGGAGGTAATCACCGTAGTCTTCAGGGAAATCCATGGCCTTGTGGCGTCAACTTAGCCACAGCTGTGTTGCCTTTAGGCTATACTTTATTTTAATATTTATTATATAACAGCTGTTGCTTGTTTTTGTAAAAAATGTTTAGTTTTGACTATGTAATGATTCAACACACTTCTTCATTCGTTTACAAATAAAACTTTATCAAATATTCGTTCATATAGTGGTGATATTATTTCATACATAGTAAACATTCAGCTACATTGATGATATTTTAGTGTTTTCCCGATCAGCTGAAGAACATGAGCAACATCTTAGGACTTTGTTCAAAAGACTCCATTCCTATGGCGTTATTGTAAACTCATCCAAGTGTGTTTTTGCAGTGCCTGAAGTGACGGTTTTAGGGTACAGAGTTTCAGCATCAGGTGTCTACCCTCCACAAGACCGAATATCAGCTCTTCAGGAGTACCAACTACCTAAGACAATGCGTGGGCTTCGACGGTTCCTAGGTATGATCAATTTCTATCGCAGATTCTTGCCTAAAGCCGCAGAACTCCAAGCACCTTTACACTCTCTGCTTGGTGGTGCAAATAGCAAGGGATCACTTCCTGTGCCTTGGACCCCAGAGACTGAGGAGGCGTTTCAAGCTTGCAAGTCTAGTTTGTCGTCAGTGACACTCCTATTTCATCCGAAACATGACGCCCCTCTCGGACTGTTTACAGACGCCTCTGACGTTAGTGTAGGAGCTTGCCTTCAACAATTTGTAGAAAATTCCTGGCAGCCACTTGGATTCTTCTCTAAGAAACTTTCACCTAAGCAAAGCTCTTGGCCGGCGTACTACCGTGAACTTCTTGCTGTGTATGAAGCAGTACAGCATTTTCGTCATTTTTTGGAAACCACGGCATAAACCACTCATCTTTGCTTTCCATCAACGTCGTGAGAAACTTCCACCTGTTCAACTACGTCAGCTTTCATTCATATCCGAGTTTTCTACAGACATAAAACGCATCGGAGGTTCAGAAAACATTGTTGCCGACGCTTTATCACGTGTAGGGGCTATTTCATGTTCATTGGATCCTGAGTCAATTGCCAAAGCACAAAGCTCAGATGACGAACTCATCAACCTCATAAACAACAACAATTCATCTCTCAAAATACAGAAGATCCAAATCCCTGGAACAAACTCATTCATCTTTTGTGACACTTCCACAGGGACCCAAAGACCTTATATTCCAGTTGAACTACGGAAGAGGGTATTTCATTTGCTACATGACCTCAGCCACCCAGGCATTAAAGCTACTGCAAAACTTGTAGCAGATCGATTTGTCTGGCCAAGTATTCAAAAAGATTGTCGTAACTGGGCTCGTACTTGTGAGCGATGCCAACGTTGCAAGGTAAAACGACATGTTCATGCTACTCTAGGAACATTTTCTTTACCATCATCACGCTTTGAGCACATCCATGTTGACATAATTGGGCCTTTACCACCAGCAGGACCATACAAATACTGTCTTACGGTCATAGACCGTTACACTAGGTGGCCTGAGGTTCATCCTTTAAAGGGGATTACTGCAGAAGAAGTCGCCGAAGGTCTAGTCTCGTGCTGGTTTTCTCGTTATGGCGCTCCTTCAAGAATAACTACTCTGATCAAGGCCGCCAATTCGAATCATCCCTCTTCAAGTCCCTTGGAAGAACTTTCGGCTCTGAAAGAATCAGGACTTGCAGTTACCATCCCTGTGCAAATGGATTGGTGGAGAGATTCCATCGCCATCTCAAAGCTTCACTGATGTGTCATCACGATTCATCCTGGCTGGAAGCTCTTCCGATTGTCCTCCTAGGTATAAGAACTGCGTACCGCGAGGATCTTCAAGCATTAACGGCAGAAATTGTTTTCGGACAACAGTTGAGACTTCCAGGAGAATTTTTTGATCTCCCTGTTGACGGACCCAGGCATGAAGATCCTACTGATTATGTTGTACGACTCCGTCAACACATGTCTTCAATCAGACCTGTCCAAGCTTCACGCCACGTCAAACCCAAAACTTTTATATTTCAGGATCTTAGAAAGTGCACCGATGTTTTCCTAAGAGACGACTCTGTGAAACGTGCTCTACAGCCTCCCTACAGCGGACCATATCCTGTAATTTCTCGTGATGAAAAATCCTTAGTAATATCACAGAATGGCAAACAAGTGCGAGTGAGCTTAGACAGGGTGAAGCCTGCACATGTGTTACCCGAAAAATGTAACCATCCAACAATCAAAGAGCCTCAAAATATACAACCTTCAAACACATCCCTCAACCCTCCAAGCCCGGCATCATTCAAAAGCTATACAACTCGGTATGGACGAAATGTTAAGCTCAAGCTTCCTGGACTTCCAGTCTCTGCGGGGGGCTGATGTGGCGTCAACTTAGCCACAGCTGTGTTGCCTTTAGGCTATACTTTATTTTAATATTTATTATGTAACAGCTGTTGCTTGTTTTTGTAAAAAATGTTTAGTTTTGACTATGTAATGATTCAACACACTTCTTCATTCGTTTACAAATAAAACTTTATCAAATATTCGTTCATATAGTGGTGATATTATTTCATACAGAGTAAACATCGCTATATATTGGTAAAGGCATATGTATTTTCAGATATCAAGGAGTTATTTTCATGAATTAGAGAAGTAAACATATCTTTGAAATGAGGCCATTCTTAAAGGTTTCCAGAAAATTTATGCTTTCAATTTCAGGTAGTTTAACTTGAGGCTGCATTTTAGTGACAGTTTTAATGAGATTGTTAGTTGATGTAGACGTGCATCTCTTATGGGTCCCTAAATTATGGAAATACATAGACTCAATTTCTTTGATAGATGCTTGTTCATTTAGTATTTCTTCATCTAGCCCTAATGTAATCAAAATTTCTAGAATTTCATTTTGATATTGATTGAGATATTGGTAATCAGATTTTAATGCGTCAAACCTAACTTGAAACTCGGTACTATATCATCAAATTCAATAACGTGATCTACACTCAATTTATACAAAGTAGTTAATTCTTTGAACAACTTTAGCCTTTTTCAATCGAAGAAGTTTCAATGCATTTCCATTGTTAATACTCATTTTCAATTGAAGATTGATTACTCCATATAACTTGAAACAATGTGAATCCAAATTTAGGTAATAAGTTTTGTTAGAAATTTAGTCTATAAAACTCACCAAATCTTCTTTGTGTAATAACTTACCATAGGCAATAAATTCTTGACAATTGTAGACCTATTCGGCTTCTGAACGGACCAAAATGTTAGGTAACCGCATTGCGTTGAAATAAAATAACTTGTAGCTTTGACTATTATCCAATAGTCAATGCTTGTAGGTAATAAAAAAAAGTAAAGAGCTTTAAGTGGACTGTAACTGTATATTTAGAAAAACAATGAATATAACAGATGTTAATTCAATCATTCCAAATACAAATGTAATATAGGAAACAAGCAATATGACAAAGAGTATCAAACAGTGGGTCAAGAGTGGAAATACTTTCGTATTGGTCTTCATGATCAACTTCCGACTCCGAGTTGGAATACAATTTTAAGGTGGGCTTCCTATCTATACTTATTTAATACGCAAGCAGTTTTTTTGTGACAATTACTCCTCCGGAACTACTGAACCGATTGATATGTTCTTGGTGTCTTTGGAAAAAGCCTAACGTGAAGTTGTACAGGAAACTTTCTTTTTAGGGAAATAATTAGAGGGTGAGGCCCTGGGGCCCTTTAAAGTTTTGTATTTCTCTATAAGATTAACATGGGAAACTAATATTGTTATGAAACTCCAGCTGTTGTCAGAAATTAAAAGTGAGAAGAAGAACATTTATGTTAATTGTAAACAGTCAATAAGTTCGCTAATTTAACAGTTAGTTTGCTTCAAACGTTTACTTACTTGGTTGAAATGAAATATTTACTATTTGAATTTGGGTTGCAGTTAATATTACCATAAAAAAAACCAAACTAGAGATCCTAGATAGATTGATATACTAAAAAGAAAACTGAATTAACACTGTGCTGCATTTCTTAGTAATCATTGAAAGAGCCGATTTGCAAACTATGGAAACAGAGAAGTCATAGAACACCACCAAGGAAAAGAAAATAGAAATAGCCTAGTGTTTTTTTTTAAATTTTTAATCATTATGGACAACCTAATGCGGCTCTGAGTAAGGCTATTTGTAGAAGACCCTGAAAAACAAGATCAGCTTTTGAAAAATGATAAGATATTTACAAGAAATGTTGATTATATCGATCTGTTATGTACATCTTGAGTATTCCATAATCTTTGAGTCAAATCTTTTAAAGTTATAAAAAATTATGACTGTTATTCGTTTTAAAATAAGGTCAGTAATACTTAGCTATTGCTCGATTTCGAGCAACAGGGACACTAGTTTAGAACTAAAGAGTCAGTTATGAAAACAAAAACACCTGGAACACAGATTAGTCTAGGGAAATGAGGAATTTATGGGCCATCAATCTTTGAAAAAAAATAACTCCTGTCATTGTTAATTATTCTGCACATCACATACCTTATACTTTACTTTATACTTTATACTTTCTTATTAAATAGCGACCATACAAAGTAGGTATTTTAAGCCAAGTATGAATGCAGATGAGTGTAGGTTGAGTGGCGCGATCTTGTAGTCTTGTTAGTGACTAAGGCTGACATTCCTTAGACACAGGCATAAATTATTTTTATATGCTACACAATGTAAAAATTGTCAAGAGTAATAAATAAAATAAAAAAATAAAATCAACAATGTCCCATGTACTGTACGAAGTTTTACAAGTTTGGCCACACCACTCTTGCGGTATGGTTTCAATGACAAGACCCAGAGGCCAATCTATTCTATTCATGTTTTTGCATTCAATAAAAACTACATCACCTATCGATGGTTCATTTTTAGAACCTTTTATGTTTGATTTTTGAACCAACTGACCCAAATATTCTTTTCTAAAATGTTATCTTAGATTTTGTCTCAGATTTTGGATATGTTTTAATCTTCTTTTCAAGCTTCGCTCATCGATTTGGTCAAATTCTGGCATACCACTCTCCCTAGTTTCTTGAAGAAAGTGGTTTGTTGTAAGTGGTGTCAATGCAGAAGTTCTATCATAAACATATGTGAGAAGTCTCGAATTTATTACTTCTTGACAGTCACAAAGCACAGTAGACATTTCTTGGTAATTGAGACAGGCCCTTCCTAGCACTCTTTTAAGATCAGTTCCAATTTTGGATTTTTTTTTTTTAATTTATTTCTTCCGTTTCGTACTGGATGTTTTTACTGACAGGCCATTCATTCTTGGGCAATCTCAACCAGTCAGGTCCCCCAGCAAGATTCTGACAATGTCCTCGCGCTACAGCCGGGGCCGCGTTAAGGGTCAGTGGAGCCCTGGGCAAACCCAAAAGCAGTGTGCCCTTTTTTCCTAGTTTGGACGGGCGGTGGTTGGGGGGCACCCGGTGGGCGCCCCTGGGCATATGCCCAATCTGCCCGTTTATAAAAGTGGGCCTGACTACAGCCTCTGAATGGAAGATCTGCAGGATATTTATCTCCAGGTACATGATTCCACTGGTTTATGTCAGTAAGCTTTCTTATCTCAGACACCCTATTACATACAAAAACATTCCAATTGTTATCTTGTTGAATCCAAGCCAATGTCGTACTTGAATCTGTCCAGTAATATATGTCCATCCATATCTTTCCAATCCATTGATTGTAATATTCTACTTGTGAGACATGCTCCCACCGTGGCAGCTAATAATTCCAATCTTGAAATCGTGGTTTTCTTCAGAAGAGCAACTTTTGATTTTGCAGACAATAATTGGACTCTCACTTCATCTTCAATTTCATCTCTCAAGTAAATAGCTGTTGCATAGGCATCTTTACTTGCGTCGCAAAATGTGTGAATACTAAAACCATTTTAATCCATAGTCATTTTACCTATCCATGGGGGTATTTTCACTATTTCAGAGCACTTAACTCACATCATGATGAATCTTTTACTGATGTCTTAAAGTGTCCCAGTCAATTTTCAAGTCCCAAATACTTTGCAGAAGAAGTTTAGGAAACAAAGTAACAGGGCAAAGGACCCCATAATTGGATCAAAGATCTTATGAGATATGGATAAAATGTCTCTCTATGTGATTCGAAACACGTCCAAATCTTTAATACAGTTTGTCAGGTTAAAAAACAGAACGTCCTCAATCTAGTTCCATTGAACTCCCAAAACATTATAGTGACGGACTTGGTATCTCCTTCTTCAATGATGCTCGTGGCATGCCATCCTCTTAAATTAAACTTAGCAGCAGCCATAACTTGTTTTGATTCTTCAACAAAGTGTTTTAGTTCCTCATAAGTATCTACACTGGTCGAAACATTGTCCACGTACAAATTTTTACTCAACTTCTCAACCACATTACCATCATACGCCTGAGAAGTCATAGATCTTTGAAGATGCAGATCAATTACTGCCCCTAGAAGAAATGGACTATATTTCACTCCAAAAACAACTCTTGTATGGCGGTAAACAATACTTCAGCTTTTTTCATTGATGTCAAGCAATAAAAAGCGAAGAAAGTCTCTATCTTGTACATTTAACGATATCTGTAAGAAGGCTTTTGCTATATCAGTAATAAATCCAAACTTCCCTTCCCTAAAACGCATCATTACAGAAGGAATCAGTTCAATTAAATCTAGTCCATTTTCAATACAGTCGTTCAATGAGGTTGAAAACTTGGTCTTTGATGATGCATCAAACACTGAACGAATTTGTGGGGTAATACTATTCTCCTTCACTACAGATCTATGTGAAGGTTGTGAGAGTTGTTGTTCAAATCGTCAAAAGGTACAGCTTCAATGATGCCATCACTTAACCCTGAGTCATAGTCTTTGGTCAAATTATTACTATCCAGTTTCTTCACAACTGTGGCTAACACTCTGTTACTAGGCAAAGGAGGATGTCAATCAACCCAGGGCACACATACTTCATATTGGCCTTCTTTTGTTTATAGTGGTAGTTTTCATAAAATGCCCTTTTACTGCCAAACCCTTTTGCTCCTTGGAAACTGATTCACTTGTATCAGTAATGACTATGGTGTCTAATCTCCACAGTTCGGATATGACAGCATCGTTACAACAGTGGAGAGTATGGTTGAACCTGTATTACCACTAATTACAGCCTTACCCATCAGTGTCCATCCCAGAAGAGTTTCCAGCCACTAGTCCGTATTTCAGTTGAATCATATTTCAGGTGAATAGCTTACCCGATATATTCCCTCCAATAAAAATACCAATTGGTAGCTTGGTCTCATGCAAGTCAGCCAGAGAAACATTTTTCTCTCTAAGTTCCTGTATTCAGGGACCTTTGGTAAACAG